TGCTGCAGGGTCCTCCATGGTGCTTGGATCTCGGCTCAGGTGTGCCCCTTACCCACACCATGCTCCTGGTGCAGCCGTCAGGCTTGCATGCGAGACCACAGGTGTTGATCATAGATGCTAGTAGCAGGACGGTAGGAAACCTGGACACTTCCATTGACTCTACACTTGTGATGTTAATTTTGATTTCTCTGCTGAAATACCTTTCTCGGTACTTACTTGACATTTGTATGCCTTCTTTGGAGAAATGACTATTCAAGTCTTTTGCCCATTTTTAAAGTTGTAAGAGTTTTTTTTTTTTTTTCCTTGAGTTGTAAGAGTTCTTTATATATAATCTGGATATTAATCTCACTTGGTCATGGTCAACTAATCCTTTTAATATGTTGCTAATTTAGTTTGCAAGTATTTTGTGGAGGGTCAGTATTCATAAGGAAAATTAATTTATAGTTTCTCACAGTGTCTTACATTGACTTCAGTGTCTGGGTAGTGGTGGTCTTATAAAATGAATCTGAAAGGTTTCCTCCTCAGTTCTTAGGAAGAGTTTTTGAAAGGTCGATGCTAATGTTTTTTTAAATGTTTGGTTAAAATTCACTACAAAACACAGTATACTTTCATTGTTGGGAGTTTTTAAATTAATCAATTCATCTCTTCTTCACTTGCTTTATAAGTCTCAAGATGTTTTGTGTCTTGTTGAGTCATTTGTGATAGTTTACTGTTTCCTAGTAATTTCTGTTTCATTTAGACTTGAATTTGTTGACATTTGGTTGTTCATAGTTTTTTCTTAGAAACTTTTATTTTTGTAGTTGGTAGTAATGTCTCGACTTTTTTTATTTTATTAATTTGTATCATTTTTCTTTCTAAACTTTTTTTCTTTCTAAACTTTTAACAAGGGTTAATTAAGTTAAAAATTGGTCAAGTTTGTTGAATTTTCAAAAAAATCAGCTTTTAGTTTTTGTTGCGTTTTCTCTATTGCCACCGCATCTTTGTTACTGCCTTCTTTTTGCTGCTGGGTTTGGGTTAGATTACACTTCTGTTTTAGCTTCTTAAGGTGTTTTCCATACCCTAAGTTTTAGGCATCTAAAAATGACCTCAACGGTGTTGTACGTCTGAAAAGGTGAAGTTCAGGAAATACCTAAATATAAATGTATGCTTTCTACTGATCCCTGTGCTAGAAGTTGTAGAACATGATTTTTAAACTGTAGCACTCATCTTGTGAGTGGGTGGTGATTGATATCAGTTTAGCAAATCATATCTACCATTTTCTTTTTCAGTAAAATTGAAGATGACTGTATCACTCTATTAAAAGTAAACAGGTTTATGGAAACTTATTTCAATATTTTAAGGCACATACAATAGGTCTGAATGTAAAACCTATTCCTGTTCATTGAATCAAAAAGTTTTGGTATGTCGCACTATAAAGGATACAAAAAAAAGTTTTAAAAGTCAGAACCCAATTGCACAGTTCATGAAGTGAATAAAAATACAGCTTTTCATGACACATTAAAAAACCACTTACCAGAAACTGGATTTGCATATTACATATTCTTTATCTTTGTAGTGTGCATTTTTAAAGATTTATTTATGGATACAGATTTGGGGTATGGCCAGAGGTGCAAGGGGTGAGAGGATTCAGCAGAGACAGTGGGGAGCAGAATAGGCAGATGTACTGAATTACACTGCGGAGGGGAATAGCAGGTGGGTCAGGAGAGGCCTGTCACACCATGTGGGTCAGCTCCTTGGCTGGGGATCGAACTCGTGTTGCAGTGGCTGTGTTAGCTTCATAGTGCTGTGCTTTAACCCGTTGTGCCACCAGGGAGGGCCCTGTAGTTTACATTTAGTGAGAGATAGGGATCTGCTTTGATCATTTCTTCAGAGGCAGTCTTGAATGCTGGAACAGTATCCTCTTAAATTCATAGAATCTGCTACATAAAACTGCCCATAGTAAGGTGTAGGCTACTATGTTGCACCTTAACTGGAACTATCATAAAGTAAATTCCATTCTTCCTTTGTAGTTTCTTTTTCCCAATGCTACCTTTACTCCGTCTATAACAATAACTAACTCCATGTCAAATTGTGTTGCTTGGCATTTATTGGTTGGCTTGAATTTTCCTGGAATTTTATGTTAATGTAGTCATGTCCTCAGTTGTTGATTAAGTGACTGGAAATAATAGGGTATTGAGTTAGAAAAGACTTCAGAAATTACCTAGTCTCTGTTTCCTAAATTTATTTAGCCACAAAAACCTTAATTTATGTGAAGGCTTACTTGAAAATTGAACAGGTTAACTTGGAGTTGGTGGAGAGATTACTGGCTCATAAGAGCAGCTGTTGGAATTGTTGGGAAGCAGAAGAGAGAAACGATATTATAGATGCCCGCTTATGTACCAGACACCACCTGGTGCTTTCAGAAGTTTAAACTCGCATATCTATCCTATAAAGTAGTTGGTGACATTTCATTTTACAGTTAGGAAACTGAGGCACAGAGAGGCTACTAACTTTGAAGCTGGTGACCCAGTTAAAAAAGACTGTAGGACAAAGGGTAGGGGAAGACCTTTCTGAGCAATGTATGAAAGTATATGGGACAAGCAGGCTTTGGGGAGGTCTGTTAGATATACAGTGTGCAGGCTCTGTATTACACTGCAGAGCAAGAATATTTCATGGTATTCTGTTCTTATTCATCGTAATGTTAGTGTTCGGCTGAGGGGTGCACATAGACTCCCAAAATTGCAAGCTCCAAAGAGATCTGGCTCTCTATACACACAAAGGCAAAGCAGACTCAGTGTGGAAAAGCTCTTTATTGTTCCTAGAAAGGGAAGAGAAGTTGATAGTTTCCCAGTGAAACATCCCAAGTTACCCATCCTGCTGTGGGTAAATATCTAGCCATAGGGGTTGGCTCTGAGTGGGACCATGGGGATTTGAAAGCTTGCCACCATTCCAATGGTACCTTGTCGCAGAGAAACACAGGGAAGGGGTGAAAGAGGTCAGAAAAGTCTGGGACCAAAGGGACAAGATGGAGTACAGATCAAGATAACTATTGTCAGCCTCCCCATGTGTTTCTCCTCCAAGACTCTCCTTCCCAGCTGTACCTGGGTGGAAGTTGGGTTGCAGAAGTAAGAGGGATTATGCCCACTTGCCTTCCTGTTACATAGTGACTGCTCAGCTCTTCCCCTAGATCTGAGTAGTTTTCACTGCATGACCTGTCTGGACTTGTAGTCCATGGTTGCTGCGTATAAGTGGGGGCAAGAAGAATGGTACCCCACTGTGCCGAGATGCACCTCCCCCTTTCCCGGAGATGCCTCTTGTAACACCAAGGGCCAGAAACTTGACTCACCTTTTATTGTTTGATCTTGTTATAAAAAAGTTAATTGATAGCCAGACTTAGGAATAAATGGCATCTATAAGTGAATGATTACATCAAGATTTTATATTAAACCAGTTCCTAAATAAAGGCAATATATTGATTGTATGAATACAGTGCTGAATGGCTGGAGGATATTAGAGGAAATGGCTTTGCACTTGAGGAACTTGACCACTGAGCCCACCCTTTAATCAGTACTTTTCAGGTTGGACCCATTAGGAACTTGAGAATGTAGTACCGTCAGGGTCTAGGCTTCTAGGCTTGCGGGGCTCAGGGGCTCAGGCAGCGGAGCTCAGTCACAGCAGCAGGAGGGCTCTGCGTACCAGGGTTGTGTTGCTGTGTGCCTGTGGTGGTAGTGTTTCTTCGCTGACCTGTAGCTGGCTCTGTAAAGTAGTATTCAAGGTGGCGTTTGGGTATTTTGTAATATACCAGTTATTGTTTGGGGGGAGGGAGATTTTTCAAGTAACATATGCAATGTTACCATGCCTTCTAATTTGTTCTCGTTCCCTTTAACACTTTCAGAGGCCACTCAGTAGTTTCTGTTATGGTCCTCAGAAGTTTTAGTTCCCCTCACTTTTCTTTAGAGACCTCAGATGCACAGACCCGAGTTTATTCTGTTTCTGAGAACATCACGCCTGGTTATTTCTGCACAAAACCTTGTTTTGTGGCGTTTCATTGTACTTTATCCTTTTAGTACTTCATCTGCACTTCCCAGCCAATGTCCCAGCCCTTTCTCCTTGTCCACTGTAGTGTGTTTAATGTTCATTCTTCTAGCCCTTTTGCCATGTGCTGGTTTACATACACAAGCTGTTTTTTTGTTGAGCTTATTTTATCTTTAACGTATTTTTGAGAAGTAGTCATGTTTTTTGTATATATATCTAGATTACTGTCAGCTGACAGTCATTAATGATACTTCAGTAAACATTCTTGTCACCTTTAGTTCTGTGAGACTTGTTCAGGCATATGCCTCCAAGAATTGTTAGGTCACTGACGATTGCTTGCTTGCTTGTTTGTTTGTTTGTTTGTTTATTTATTTATTTATTTATTTATTTAAAAGATTTATTTATTTGTGCATACAGAACTGGGGTACAGGCCAGAGGCT